ATTTAGAAGAAGTGGAAATGAAAGAGCTAAATTGCAAGAGCATGAAAAAATAACTCATTTTGCTGGTTATTTGCTAGGTGATGGTGCAGTAAACTTACCGAAAGTTCGCCATTTAAAAAGGTGCACTTGCAACTGCGATGTCCCCAAAACGGCAACTTATCAGGATAACTCTTAACGATAATACAAAATAGAAAATCTGTACCTACATTCAGTTGTTTGTAACTTGAGGCCCATAATACTCAGACTATCAAACATAATCCGAATATACTCATAAACTTGTCTATCTGATGAGAATCTCCAATCAGTTGGTTAATTCGGCGTTATCTTAATTGTGAACGTTTATGACTCATTGAACTGAATCAGCATGACGTTCTCCACTTCCATCAAGATTTGATAAACAATTTGTCGATAAAGGAGAGCCAAAAGCTATGGGGAGGAAGATTCGTGAAGCCCACAGACCCCAAGCTGGAGAAGCTGAACTGTTCGCTCGCCGTGGACAAACGCATGTATGCTGAAGACATCGAGGGCAGCAAAGCGTTCGCTTATGCCTTGCAAAACATCAATTTGCTCACGGAGGATGAGGAGGCGCGACTGGATAAGATCAGAATCGAATGGGACAACGCTGAGTTTGTCACGCTGAGCGAAGACGAAGACATCCATTGCCAAAATATCAGCCCATTTTTCCTCTAAAAAAAAAATCTAGTGCTTTCCTGCCTCTTCTTTTCAGCAGAAGCATTTCAATAGGCCCGAATTGGGTGGATTGTTGTGCCGAGCCCTTCGGGCACAACAATCCTGCAGAAGATCTGAGGATGACCCAAAATCGAAACTATTCCTACTAATGAAACCGAGCATCGCCAATGAAAATCATACAAAAGTCACTCTCTGACTTATGAGGCTTCTGAAGAAATCGCTATTTAAATTGCGGCCTACTGAACAAGCGCAAAGTTGAAACAAAATGATTAAAAATTTCCCGAAAATGATTAAAAATCGGAGCGTTTTCCACTCATAGAACAGACGGCGTCCTGCGGATGTGATGCAAAGTGACTCACTCTTGCATTGCAAATTTTTCAGGAAATGAATTT